TTCCAAGAGCTCAGCATCATCAAATCCGTTCTGCACATGGGGAAACTTGATACATAGACACTATCCCAAGGTCACTCGACAGCTAAAACTCAATTCAGTCCTTCTAAAACACTGATTAGTCCTCCAGGCACTCAGACACACATTCACTTTCAAGGTTACTTAAAGCTAGAAGAGATCGCTTAATTAGCACTTGTATTTAGCTGTTTTAATAGACCTCTCTTTCCTACTCTCCTCTTCAATTCCATTTTTAGATACTTTTCTTAAAGCTCAGTGTAGCATTGCAGTCTGCTGTATGTTATGCAAGTTCGGCTTTATTCTGTCTAGCAGAAATTAAATTCTTCACAGTGCATACTTCAAAATAATTAACACAGATCAGTATAGCAAAAAAACCAGCAGAGATCAACCTGTCAAAGCAACCAGTTTGCACATTCCTCTCTCTCCTCCTCCAGTTAGAGAACAACTGAATAAACCAAAGACTGCTCTTGGCTCTTGTACAAAATCCAAGCTCTTGCCCTTGCTCTTCGTGGGTACAGTGAGCAAAAGGATATGGAGTCTATGATCCCCTGCAATGCTAAAGCATGGTAAGGAGTAAGGAGATCAAGAGACAGGATACAAAACAGAGAGACAGTGGCAGTAGAAAGAGGAGGAAGAAAATTTGAATAGAGCAGCAGGCATTTTTGGAAGGAATTGCATCAATTTCTACAAGTACATACAGCTGAGAAAAATAATTTTCACTGCAATTTACTTAAAATTAGTAAACCCCTTAAGTACAATATGAATAGGATCACTCAGAGGACTTTTTAAAAAGCAGAACAAGATCCATATGTGTCCAATGAAGACAACATGCACAAGGCAGAACTAAGACTTTATCTTCTGTGCTATGCCACACAGTGAATGTTCCTGTACAATTCTATGATCTCAGAAGAAAAAACACATTTCTTAGCATTTACGTGACAAAGTCACAGCTTCCAAGTTCTGCAGAAGTTCTCTCTAATGTCAGACAGGGATCTCAAACAGCAGAAATAGCAACTGTCACAAAACTATACACAAAGCTCCAAGCAATGGCTGAGGCAGACTACCTAAAATACATTTCAGCTTCCTTTTACCAGATGGTTTAGCCTACTTGAAAGGAAAACAAGGTTGCTAAGCAGCATTAAATCTTCATTAGCTTTCCCCAACTAAGTCCTGAAATCGACTGTTATGTTATAGCCGAATGCATCAACAATCAAATACAAGGTTTAGTTATTAACTAGGAGTATTAGTTTTTCTCAAGTACCATCACAAGGTTTTGCCAGATTTTGATGATTTTTTTTCTTTTCCGCTTCAGAGACTGTAGCAAGTTTTACACTAAAACTTGCATCAGCTAAGCAGAAGAGATGTATCCTTTGGCAGGCTAAAATGCCATCTACCATCAACTTTATCATGTTTCCACAAATACCTGCTCTGTTCTGCTGACATTAAAGCACATTACAGCATTTTACAGGGCCCTCCAAATTAAACCATGTGAAGTATAAAGCTTTTATTAAGGACTGTTCCTCAGGCTGGCAAAGCTCCTTTCGATTTGACAAGTGTTCTGCCTGCTAAATGAGCCTAGACTTTTATTTCCTGTTGCAATTTTCATTTTATCAGAAGCATTGCTCCATTTTTACGTTACCATTAATCCCAGCGTGTCTGCAACATGCTAGCTGCAGACAAATGTACTGGACACTGCAGGTAGACTAACCTTAATAGATTTTCTTAAGTCTCACTCTAATGTGCATTAAGAAGCCCTAATGCATATCAAACTAACCTAATTAATTTTCAAGTTCCAGTAAAACAATTACATTTACTACTGATGCAAATTGTTAGATTCTAGTTAGAATCCTACTTTTCAACTGGGCACCACACCAAGCTCAAAAGAAAATGTAATCAACATTAATCAATAACTCCGGATTGAAGAGTTGACGAAGGTAATTGTTATTGTCTTGATTTTTTTATTTTAAAGCAGCAGAAAAATTGGAAGTATGAAAACAAAAGAAAAGAGCAGTTCTCTTAAACATTCAAATAAATCTGTGTTGCAAACAACCAGTGTGACATTTTTGGGACCCATTCTGAGCCACTCAAAACACTACTTTGCACTAAGTCCGAGTGTAAGCAGCATGACTGTGTTTCTCATTAGTTAATGACATAAAGAAGAAAAGAAGCAGTGACTGGGTCTCCATCTCCTAATAACTGTCACCAGCAAAAGACTATTAACAACAAAACAGCTTTTATAAAGCAGAATAATGACTTCCTGCAGATCAGGTGATGTCCTCATAGCCACAGCCTGGCTCAAGGAAGCTAAGCAAGAGGCCACTAAGTGATGACCTTTCATCACCTGAATGAGAGTTTTGAGAACAAGTGAGAAAATCACTCAACAGGTGGATGTGAAGACATGAAGGATTAGGTGTCCATGCTCCCACTCACAACAGAGACATAAATCTTTTGATATGCAAACGGGGAGATCAGAAGAAGGGAACCGAGAATGCAGGGGGACTCATGAATGATAGTCACGAAAAGCTGAGGTCCACAGCCAGAATTTTGGATTGGAATCTACATACTCTTCCTACTGTCCCAAAGTAAAGTGTGATTGGTTTAGAAAACCTGCAAAAATGTGCATTTTAATGGCTCACACTTCTTTGTTTGTTTGTTATTAGTACAGATGTTAAACTGGAAAGTAGAGTATCACAAGCAGGGTGTTCTGCGATACAGCTCCTTGAAGAATGGAGCAAAGAACCTCTCTGTCTCGCATCAAAAGCATTAATCCAGAGGGCAGAGAAACTGCCTGGAATCTTCTTAGCCAAGACGACTTAAGAAGTACAGACCTCAGCAAGCTGCCTAAATACATTGTCTGAAGGGTGTCTAACAAGGAGACATTGTACAAAAGTTTGGAATAATCAGAAATGCTCTATACACAAATCAAAAACTTGAAATTAGAAACATATAATTTTATCATAACATACCTACAGATTAAGAAGATACGCATGAGAGAAAAAGCCCTAGAACATTAATAACGTATCCAGAGATAAATCTAAATCAAAATGCACTAGTGGAATGTGTGCTAAATCTGGAAAATTGGGAAATTGAAGGAAGGTTCTCCAGTTCCTCACCAGATCAATACAGACATTGCTGTAAAGACATTTTTGAGTCTGAGATTCTATACCAAGACAAATTTCTAACTTTTAAAAGATGCATTGTGAAGGAGATATGCTTTAAAGGAGTTCAAACACCTAAATTTTCCTTGGCTTATTAGTGAATTTTCTGCCTTTGGAAGAAGCAGATGCTAACTTTTTGGCCAGTTTTCTACAGATGTTCTATTTTTCAAATGCTGACCTGAATATTTGCTCTCTGCTAAATGTTATTAGTCCAATAAACCAGAACATAAAATGATTAGCAACAGTGTTAATTAATATATTCACTGAAAAGTAACTTCAAGCTGTGTCTCAGGTCTCATAAATAAAGAAAATATTTATAACTTATTTACAGGAGGGTAACCGAGTTTAAGGGTCAGAAATAGCATCTTTATCATACAGCTACACATTTTTCTTCTGAAATTAAATTCTTTTGAGACTTTTTTTTTTTTTGTGGAGTCAGCAAAAGCTATTTTAAGTGCAGTTCATCAGCATCCACAAACCTGGCTGCCTGTGCTGTTGCCTATATGGGTGAACTCAGGATAAATGGAAGACAGAGGTGTAATATGAAATGGTTGCATGACTAAAGTAGAAACAAGCACTGGCTCCACATCTCTCTGAGTTGCTGGAAAAGATATTCTTATCATTCACCTGCCTCCTTACTGGGGGAAAAGGAGTGTCTGTAGGTTTTCCAGAGTAAAAGTCAGAGAAGAATCAGGTGCCCTGGAGAATACAACCACCTTTGCCTTCAAACACTTTAGCATTTGGAAACGTGGTGTCATCTATCTGGGATCCCTATGATTTTAAGGTCCCGTGTCAAAGGGCACCCACTTCATTCACAGATATTATAAGAAAGCTTAAATTTCAAGTGGATATTTATGGGAAACATAAGGAGGGAGCAATGAATTTTTGTTGAGCACAGGAATATCATATAGCATTGCAAAGGGACTTTGCTCTTGTCCTCATCCTGTGTTCTCCACTAAAGGGAAAGATGAAGAATAAACAGCCATCTTCATCACATTTGCTCAGTTGCTTTAGTTACCAGTGTTCAAAATTAAACCATAAGGAATTGAGTCACTTCATTCACCCTTCTTGTCTGAGTTAAAAGGCCTTGGTCAGTGCTACATTGTCACAGATAGGGTTGCTCTTGGAAATTGGCCTGCAGTGCAGACAAGGACTATCACAGTCGCCATCCAAGGAACGGTCTCTTTGCTGCTGTAAAATATTTGCTTGAATTTGCTTTGTTTTTTCTGATGCTATCTTTAAATGCGGTGGCTCTGTTACCCTCAGAAGGGTGAGAGAGTGCATCCCTGATATTCTCTGCAAATAGAAGCCTGGCAGCATATTCTTAACAGATGTTGCACTGCTATTTTCTCTGGGTACTTGCCAAAGTAAGCTCAAAGCATACCCACCAATAAGCTGGCATTTAGAAAAGCACTCCAAAACAGCCACAGCTGGATGATCCATTCACCAATATTCTTCTTTCCATTCCCCATCCATCAAAGGGATTTGCTGCAAAATGATTAATTGCTTTACCACCATCTGTGCTCAGGTTCCATTAGTAACCCAGGTGTTTCAGGAGAGCCTGGTCCTGCACAAGCTATGTCCAATTACTGCTTGCTGATACATCAGTCCAGCTAAGCAAGCCTGGAAAATGCAACACGTGACCAAACACTCTCAGAACAAATTAACCTCTACAAAAACCAGGCATGTCACACCTCAGGAACAAATCAACTCCTACATAAACAGGTACTTCACGTCCTATCCCACCAGAGTTAACTACTGACAAATAAAAGGAAAAGATCTGGTCAGGCCACAGTTGCTTTGCATAGGTTGCTGAACAGTCTTTACCTTGCTTGCTGACAGACGCTGCAAATCCAAGCCTTCTCCTTCTTCTGGTAAGTACTGCAGTTCTTGCAGATGTTGTACTTGCAGTCTTGGCACTGTCGCTTGCTGTTGATAAGAAATGTGAAAGGGGAACAGCAGCGAATACAGCAGTGCTCGTTGAACTTCTGCTGCTTGGAAAGGATGCTGCACTTGTTACCCTCTTCATCCAACTTCTGCTTCATCTCACTGGAATAAAAAGCAAAAGAACAAAAATGTAAACAAGATTTCAATGGCAAATCTTTCTCCTCTTTCCACATATTCATGTTATAATCTTCAAATAACTTTTGCAGATGTGAAGTAAATGTCAGAAACGCATATTCTAAATTTAGAATGGGGAAGCAAAAACTCCTGCGTTCCCTGGAGTCACCCATGTGCAACCCATTTAAACTCTCCAGGTCGCAAACCAGGGCAAAATTTACTCTGCTCCAGAGAGACAACCCTCAGGAGAGCCAGGCTGCTATGACAGGTATTCCACTTCTGCTAAGCCATAGTGCCTCAGATTCATAACTCAAAATAAAAACAGCCTATTTTATAAAATTCTGACGGATAAATTCTAAACGTCAGGTCAAAAAAACAATTAAGGCAGTGATCTAAAGCATATAATATTTGATCTTGCACATGCATCATATTTAAGCATAATCCTGATATATGCCTTTTATAAATTTAAAACTTGAAAACAATGTATGCATCTATTGCTTGTTCCCTGTATAAGGGTTTGACTGTTTTAGACTGCTCAAATCCAGATAAATACTCTTTGGACTTTCAAGTCAATAATCTTTCTTTGTTATTTTGTTGTCCAGATGGCAAAACACACTCCACATTTTTACAGAATGTGAAAGATGAAAAAAGTAAGAGATTATCATGTAAGTGAGGAAATACCTAAAATATGCAAGTCAAACTGGCTTCCTCGTGTAAACGGATAGAACTATGCCACAGATTAAATGGGATGGTTAGACTAGTTTGTCTTATCTCCACTGCTCCCTCCTACCATGTCCCTACTACATGGACAACCTCTCTCGGGAAGCAGTAGGGGAAGTGAACTGTTCCCCACGTCGCCCCTTCATCCATAGCACGCATGCTAATCTGCAGCAATGGAGTGAGACAGAGCAATGTTCCTGCACGGAAGGTCAGGTGGGAACCCTAGGTCCCAGAAGAGAAGCTGATGAAGGTGAGGGCTGTATGATTCACAGAGAAATTCTGGCATGGAAAAGCATCGGCAGCCCAAAGTGCTGCAAAATTTGCTTCAGGATGGAGACCCCAGGCAGCAGGCTGGCCTCCCCATAAGATGAGAACAGCTAAGGAATTGAGGTCAGGAGGAGTGGTGAAAAAAGAGGTTTTTGTTCTTATGGAGTTCTATTATCTGCCAGAGTTAGTAACATTGATACTTGGTAGTATCAGCTCCCATACTAAACATTGTCATGCTCAGTGTCATTTGAACCCGTATTAGGGATCTAATGCGTGATTGCAAGATAAACCACAGAAGCAAAGCCACCAATTAAAGGTGCTCCAATAACGCTCACACAATATAAAAACAGGAATTTCATTCATGACAGAGCTAATAAAGCCTGATACCTAGAAAAAGCTGAGCACACACATCAGAACAGCATTAATTACATCTCTCTCCTCCATCAGGCTGCCAACATTCATTACAGTTGTAGAACCTCAATATCATTAAAGCATCTGCCTCAATGTTAAATAGGACTAAAATTGGGCAACGAATTAAAAAAGTAAATAGGATAGGTTTGGACAGGCTGGCAGATAAAGAGCATGACAGAAAAAGCCTTATTTCCACAGGAAACCAGGCAGAACAGAAAAGAAAGCAATGCACACCTCTCTGATAGCTGTAACAAATTAAGGCTCTCATGCACTGCCTGCCAAAGACTATTCTACTTCCTATAAGGAGTCAAATGGAAAAGGGGACCATCAACTGGACTTGTCATTTCAAGCCAAAACGCTACGGTCCACACTCTTTCCTTGGAAGCAAAATGTGGGTTTCATATGAAAGTAAAGTGCTGCACAACTCTGGTAGTCAACTCAACCTGCCTGGCTTGAGGAAAATTAGTCAAAATGAAAAGTAAGCTCTGGTTTACTCCCAGCAATATGTGAAAACCTGACTCGTACATGACTCCAGCTGGATGATTACTGTGAGTGGGATAATTAATGCAGGCTTTAATCTCAATACACTGAGAAAGTTGCACTGAAATTCAGGAGTTACAAATTGAAGCTCAAGGCATCCTGAGTTTGAAAGTCTCAGACTTTGCTTTCAGAATGTTCAAAAGGCTTGGTACAAGATTGTAAGAATGGTCTAAGGAAAGCAGTGAGCAGTCAATCTCTCATGCAGTGAAACTCACTTCCAAAAAGACGACAGCCACCTGTGCAGAAGCTATTTCTACAAAGCAGGTCAAACCACCCAGTCATTGCAAACATTCCCCCTTCCTTCCCATGCAACACCTTTTCCCTCAATAAAACACAGATGAGGGGGATGGGACAGAGAAAAGAGGGAGAAGTGCACACTCATGTGTGCATACTTCCCCAATGAGGGAATGTAATGTATTTAGATAGATATATATATATATATATATATATATATAATGTGTGCAAATAAAACAAGCAACAAAAAAGACTGCACAAAACATGTCCCTTTTGGGGAAAGCACAGAAGAGTGGGAACCACAAATGACAGAATTTATTCACATCACAAGTCATAACTGATGGTGCTCAACTATTATGGTTATGTGTAACATAGTAATAAGCATCTGTGGAGAACTCCTGCTGTTTGAATGAATCTCAGATTGAATTTCATTTTCAGCCTTGAGTGGTTGCATTTCACTGATTGCTTACAAATACTAAAGAAGCAAAAAGTACTTAACAGATACCCAACACGTCTGTCACTAAAACTAATTCTGTCAAAAATCGTTTTATTGAACTATAAGTTCAATACATATGCAGATGCATATTTAGATTTTTCCAGAGGCTTTTATCAATTAATTTACATAGTTTGCATAAAAAATATGTAATTAATTTCAGTAATTGTTTGGGGTGATAAACTCCTGGCATTCAATTCCCACACAGTCAGGTTAGGAATACTTTCCAGCATACTGTTTTGGATGAAGGTTTTGCTATTACATTCTGAGGGTGAATAGTTGTCTTCCCCTCATCACCCACTACGTTTTTGTGACTTTTTAAAATATAAATTAAATAGCTTTCATTGGCATGGTTTACTTCTTCTTAGTGTCTTCGAGGATTTTAACTGAATTTGTGGGAAGAATGAGATTCTGCTTTGCTGATTTACAAATTATATGTTAGGTTAGGTATCATGTTATGCTGAAGATGGGTATGCCACAGTAGATTGCAAGGGAGGACACTGCTGAAATGTGGCTGGTGAGTTGTGCAGACATGCAACATGCCTCATCACATGACTACTCTTCATCAGCTGAGTAACAACCTGCCTGAAATACCCTGTCTGATAAGTCATCCTTGGACCCTAGGAATGGCATCCCTTTTTGTTTCTACAAATAACACTACTTCAGACTTGTAAAAGTAGGATGAAACTTGCTAAACTGAAGCTACAGGATTGCCTTCCTTGCTCTTCACTGCCACCGATTTACAGAGTGATTTGTCCAAAGTCACAAGCTTTTTACATGCTTCATTTTAACTGCTGTACAATAGCAATAACAGTAAAAGTCAAAATGGCAATAATAAACTTTTTTTTGTCTACATATATAGATAAATATAACATAGAATCATTTATGTTGGTAAGGACCTTTAAGATCACCAAGTCCAGATGTTAACCCAGCACTGCCAAGTCAATCACAAAACCATGTCCCTAATTTGACAGATCTACATGTCTTTTAAATACCTCCAGGAATGGTGACTCAACCACTTCCCTGGGCAGCCTGTTTCCATGCTCAGTAACCATTTAGGTGAAGAATTTTTTCCTAATATCCAATCTAAACCTTCCTTGGCACAACTTGAGGCCATTTCCTCTTGTCCTATCCTATGTTATCTGGGAGGAGAAACCAACTCCCACCTCACTACAAACCTTCTTTCAGTCAGTTGTAGAACACCTTTACAGCATCTTTCATTTAGTGACCATTCGAGTCTCCTTCCTTGGAAGTATTTAAAAGCTGTCTCTGGTTACAATCCTGAGTACCATGATCTCTAGGAGACCCTGTCTGAGCAGGGAATGTCGGACTAGATGACCTCCAGCAGTCCCTTCCAACCTTACCCATCCTGTGATTCTGTCATACAGTCCTCTCCACTGCTGTACTATAGTAAACAACATATTTACAACTAATGCTCAGAGCAAATGGCCCTCAAACTTTTCTTACCACAAGACCTGATTGCCTTATCTAAATAAAATTCTATTTTAAGTCACTTTTACAGTATAAGTAAATTGAGTTCCTACTTACAACCAAGTAGGATAAGATGTATTCCGGGCATTATTGTAATACTGAATGTTCATTCTTTGGACTTAATACTACTTACTACTATTCTGGTGGGATTCAACAGGACTGAGGCATTTTTTCTGTGCTATTGCAATGACCTCAGTTTCAAAAACAGGCTGGCAGGTTTAAACATAATTCTTTAGTGTTTGCCTGAACAACGCCTTCTCCTCTAATAAATTTCTTTAAAACAATTGGTATTTTGCATGGCCTGAATACAGAAACTTTTTTGTTGTTGTTTTGAACCAGCAGCGTGACAAGGATCGTTTTTTCACTGAGCTACAGTTGGATACTCACAAAGCTCTCTGGCTGTAATTATTCCATATCTTAGTAAATGAAACAAATCCTAGATGACCCTCTATGCTTCCCACCAAGGACATTACTGTGATTACATACTCAAGGGCTGGGGCAGGTGGAGCTATAACCTCAAACTACAAAGCCAACAATAATATACATGTTGACAACTTGCCATAATAAGATGATACTGTGAAGTTTAAAAAAAAAAAAGCTGGAAAGAAGCCTATGATGAGTTTGAGAAACAGTTTAAAAAAGCCTTTGCTGCATATATAAGGCTAGGATGATCAAACTCCAAGCCTCTCCACTGGTTGCAGCAATGAAAGGGAGTCCATAAAACAGCAGGCCATGGTAAGGTATATGACAACATAATGCTAGGAAAACCCACCTGTTTTTCATATAACAAGGAGAACAGTTCCTGGTGAAAACCTGATAATTAGCTTGAGCT